TTTTTTTGGAGGTATAAAAATCTGTTATTTATATGCAATGACAGAATGACACAACACAGCCCAACCCATCGCAGACATTTTAAACTATGGGAATCTAGCCTAGGAAGAAACACTGCTCTAGATAAAATGATTTAATTGATAAGAAGGTGTAAGCTCTAATCCTGGTTCTGTGACCACTTGCATATAGAGGGTCTAAAATAAGGATAATAACACTTACCTTTCCTTGTCTCAAAGAATGAGAAAGGTGAATCGAGAGATGACACTTTAAAATTAAGAGACGTACAAATGGAAGAAATCAGAGGAACGGGGGATTCAAAAATGGAATGGATTATCTGGAGTGTTCTGGGGAAGCTTCCATCACTTTTGAGTTTGTAACCTCTCTACTTGAAGTCTTCTGCTCCACCCTGGAGCAGAAGTTTGAATTCCCACCCCTGGGCTGTTTGTGTATCTGCTATTCAGCCTCTCCCCATTCCTTACCCCTCTTTCACCATAGTACATTGTGAAGTGCCATGGCAACACGCTTCTGCCCCAGTTCCTGGGGATGTACCGAGTCAGTGTGGACAATGAAGACAGCTACATGCTTGTGATGCGCAATATGTTTAGCCACCGTCTTCCTGTGCACAGGAAGTATGACCTCAAGGTAAGAAGCGGATAGCTCAGGCTTAGAGGGAGGCTCCTGATAGCCTGAGAACAGGGAAGACCCTGGGAGGTCTTTGGATGATTTTTTTTAAAGGAAAGAAGGCTGGATTTGAGTACTCGTCTTAGGAGTTGGGTTCTGACTCTTCTTTTAGCCACTTCTACTAACTTAGTTTTGGGTCTTTCTGCAGGGTTCCCTAGTGTCCCGGGAAGCCAGCGACAAGGAAAAGGTGATACTAATTTTATGTGCTAGGGTAAGGGGTGAGGGATGAAGGAGGGCAGATGAGGGGAACTTCTTAGGATGGAGAGGCCACTCTATATAGGAATAGGGATTACTAGCTATTTATTATCTTAAACCATTTAAAAGAAGAAGGGGTAAACTTCTGTTGATCTGGGGATTGTTTGGAGGGGCAGTGGGAGCAGCTGCTTTAACATTGGCCTGGGTTATTCCATACGGAAGGCTTGGGGATAGGTGAGGATGCCAGACTTTTAAGAGCAAAATGTTTAACTTCCACTTCCCATTCTGGGTTATTTTATTCAAGGAGCTACTTTTGCTTAAGAAGAAACAGGCCGGGCATAGTGGCTCATACATATAATCCCAGGACTTTAGAAGGCCAAGGCAGGGGGACTCTTGAGCCCAGGAGTTCCAGACCAGCCTGGGCGACATAATCTTTACAAAAATCAAAAAAATTAGCCAGGCCTGGTGGCACGGGCCTGTAGTCCCAGCTACTCAGGAGGCTGAAGTGGGAGAATCACTTGAGCCCAGGAGGTTGAGTCTACAGTGAGCTGAGATCACACCACTTACATTCCAGCCTAGGCAACAGAGCGAGATTCTATCTCAAAAAAAAAAAAAAAGGAGGGTCTTGGCTGAAAATCATAAGCAGAGAGTAGTGGGATGTGATTTGATTTGGGATACAGCTGTAGTGACTGGAGTTGAGAACAAATCAGGGAAGCATCACAGTGTGGGGAGTTAGATGAGCTCTCTCTGCTAGAGGGTACTGAGCTAGACAGAAAGTGAAGTTCTGAGACCTTGGGCAAGAGCTGTGTTCCCAAGATGTCCCTTTACCTATTCTTAGGTTAAAGAATTGCCCACGCTTAAGGATATGGACTTTCTCAGCAAGAACCAGAAAGTATATATTGGTGAAGAGGAGAAGAAAATATTTCTGGAGAAGCTAAAGAGAGATGTGGAGGTGATGATTGGGTGCTCTGGGAAATGGCTTTGTTTCCTTTTTTTTGCTCCCTCTAGGATACTTGACTCTTTAATTCACAGTATGAGGGAGCTCTCCCCTTCCCTTTATTATTCAGGTCCTCTGCATGTATGAGGATTGGGTATGAGACACGAAAAACCCCTAGAGCTGACCCATGGAAGGGGTGACTAGAATAAACTAAAAGGATGATCTTAGACACCAGGACATATAGGCACTGAAGGGCAGTGGTATGCCCTGCAACCTCAATTTTTACACTTCCTTTCCCCAGGAGGGCCCCAGAAGTTCAAAGGTAGAGGTACAGGGGTGGTACCTCATGAAGGGGGAGAGAGAGGTGTCTGATTTGTCAGTGGGTCTCAGTTTCTAGTGCAGCTGAAGATCATGGACTACAGCCTTCTGCTGGGCATCCACGACATCATTCGGGGCTCTGAACCAGAGGAGGAGGGGCCCACGCGGGAGGATGAGTCAGAGGTGGATGGGGACTGCAGTCTCACTGGACCTCCTGCTCTGGTGGGCTCCTACGGCACCTCCCCAGAGGGTATCGGAGGCTACATCCATTCCCATCGGCCCCTGGGCCCAGGAGAGTTTGAGTCTTTCATTGATGTCTACGCCATCCGGAGTGCTGAAGGTGGGAACTGGGACAATTTAAGGGTGGAGACGGGATTGTTCTTGGGGGACAGAGACCCAGGGGAGAGCCTGGTTAGCTTTTCAGAACAAAACTGGCTGGTTCCTGGAGAAAGGGAATTGGAACTAAACCTGCCCTGAATTGTTGGTCTCTCTCCCAGGAGCCCCCCAGAAGGAGGTCTATTTCATGGGCCTCATTGACATCCTTACACAGTATGATGCCAAAAAGAAAGCAGCTCATGCAGCTAAAACTGTCAAGCATGGGGTGAGAGTTCCTGAAAGCCTTTCCTTTCCTGTCTTGATATTCTTTGGGAAGATAGAGCCTCTTTTGCTAGAGCAATGGGGTGGCAAAAGGACGGAAGTGGTCTGGGGTAGACTGGGTGGGTGATGGGGATGGGTACTGCGGTGGCCTGACACATTGTTCCACATCTCCTCTCACAGGCTGGGGCAGAGATCTCTACTGTCCATCCGGAGCAGTATGCTAAGCGATTTCTGGATTTTATTACCAACATCTTTGCCTAAGAGGCTGCCTGACTCTCCCTGATGTTCAAGGTGGTAGGGTTCTGAGAGGCTGGGGGGAATTGTGGATATTCTAGCCACCACATCTCTTCTTCTTTTGCTAAATTCAGGCTGCAGGCTCCTTCCATCCAGATAACTCCATCCTGTTTAGTAGGCTTCTGACCCTCAGAAATACATTATCCTTTCTCCCCTTTGCCCATTTTTCTCCCCTCTCTCCCTCCCCCCAAGAAGTCTGCTTGTATTATTAGAATGTTATTGTTGATTCTCTCCCAAGTGCCTTGATCTTTGTAAAATCTCCTGTTGTTTCTATGATATAGGAGCTGGGGGAAGGGGGTTGTTTGCCATCTTCAGGACCTGACTGGACAGATGGACCTGGCTCAAGCAACTACTCTGGATGCACTTTGCTGTGTGGGATGAACTAAAAGTGTCTGAATTTTGCTGATAACTTTATAGAACTCACTATGGCATGCTTCCCTCCTGGTGGGCCCTAGGATGGAGGACAGTCAAGATACTACAGATGTGGGTACAGGCATGCACACACACGATGGAATATGGCCAGCCCTACACAGGTGGGGTAGAGAGTGGGTCAGCAGCCTGGCACCTCACAGAGGTGGGGCCTACGAGGATTCTTGTGATTATGCAGAGAATTGGATTGGGTCTCTGTCAGAGATGGAGTAATCTCTTCCCTCACCTTAGTTCCATCCCCACCCATCTCTACTTCTGGACACAGGAGCCCAGAGATGGCCAAAAGCATTCAAGCCTGGGGGAGAGTGTTTGACTATTGCTGCTCTTCACCAGAACCTCGCACCTCTCCTGGGACTGGAACCCTTCAGTGGGTGTGTGGCCAGTTCTGGAGGCTGGGATTCTGGGC